TGCAGGCTTCAGTAAGAAGAACTAGTTAAAAGGTGGAGATTCTGTTGCTTCTGCAGTTCTGCAGCTGTTTTTTGGTCACTGCTGCATGTTTATAACCTTTTCTCACAGATGTTACATTTTATGAAATGTGACTCATTAGGGTGGTACTGGTATCTTTAAATGAAAAGAAATCCCAGAGGACTGAGTGATTACACAAGTCCAATTCGCTCATAACCTGAAGTATTTGAATAGAATATATTCTGGAGAGGAAAAAAGGCAGCCATACTTAAATGAATTAGATAGAGCCATGACCTAAAGTTCATTCCTTTCTCTGGGAGGAGTGAGGGAGGGACAATATTCTTGGTTGGGGAGGTTTTGTTTTCATGTGCAGAGTGTTTTTAATCTGTGTAGGCTTTTTGTTTTGAACCTTGGTCCATATTTTGGATCCAATGTGCAAATAATCTAACATAATAACAGAGTAATATGCAAATTAACCATCACTCTGCTACACACGCCACGCCCTTGTGTAGGGCTGGTATGCAAATGAACCCCACCAAGATGGTGGTTAATTTGCATATTACTCTATTATTATGTTACTCTATTATTATTAATTTGCATATTGCTCTATTATTACACACATCAAGACAGCGTAGAAAGAAGCCAAGCCTGCAGAAGGGAGTGAAGCTGTGGAGAAGCAAGCAGGGCAACAGAGAAGGGAGGAAAGCAGGCAGGGCAGCAACCACAGCAGGAAGCCCTATTGCAGGAATCTTCCTGCAATGGGCCACTAGTAATAATAATAATAATAATAATAATAATAAAAGACATTTTTTGAATGCCCACTCTGTGCAAAGTACTGGATTTAGTGCTATGTGGAGGCACAGATAGTAAAAGAGCTAGAATACGTTGACATTTCACCTTTGAGCTTTTCATAAATGCTTAAAAATGCATGTCAACCTGTCTTTTCCAGATGAGGCACCTGGGGTCCCATGTAGGAAGGTGACTCATCCATAGTCATCCAGCTAGTGACATTCAGAGCCAACACTTAGATCCATCTCTCCTGAGGTCCAATGTCCTTTCCACATACAGGGCTACCTAGTACCCATGGACGTAAATGGGTCAAGCGTCGTGGCAGGTGGAGAACTAGGGTGAGGCGATCAAGGCAAAATTTTCACAGGTGCCCTAATGCTTAGGAATCATACTTAATGCAAAGGAAGTTCATGCTGAACAATAGATCAAAATCTTCAATGAAATCAGGATCAGACTATTTGCATGACCCAACCTCACTTCCCTCACCCTAATCTTGGTCCTATGTCATGCAATCTGAACTTTTGGGTGGACCAAGGGGAAAACTAACAAGAAAATATTCCCACGGCTGGGAAAACTGTAAAGGAATTCCTGAATGTATAGAGTGAGATTTTCAGAGATGGACCACAAACTACCCACTGTAGTATTCTGCGATGAAATAGCTCATTTTGTTTTGTTCTTGAATTTTTATTTATTGATTTGAGAGAGAGAGAGAAGCATTGACTTGTTGTTCCACCCATTTATACATTTATTGATGCCTACTGTATGTGCCCTGACGTGGGATTGAACCCACAACCTTGGTGCATTGGAATGATGCTCTAACCAGGCCAGGACTCTTTTGTTTTATTTTTATTTTTATTTTTTAAATATATTTTATTGACTTTTCACAGAGAGGAAGAGACAGGAATAGAGAGTTAGAAACATCAATGAGAGAGAATCATTGATCAGCTGCCTCTTGCACACCCTCTACCGGGGATGTGCCTGCAACCAAGGTACATGCCCTTGCCCGGAATCGAACCCGGGACCTTTCAGTCCGCAGGCCGACGCTCTATCCACTGAGCCAAACCGGTCCCGGCTCTTTTGTTTTATTTTAATAAGAAACTAAGACTGGCCAAAACTGGTTTGGCTCAGTGGATAGAGCATCAGTCTGTGGACTGAAAGGTCCCAGGTTTGATTCCGGTCAAGGGCATGTACATTGGTTGCGGGCACATCCCGGGTAAGGGGTGTGCAGGAGGCAACTGGTCGGTGTTTCTTGTTTCTTTCTCATCAATGTTTCTAGCTCTCTATCCCTCTCCCTTCCTCTCTGTAAAAAAATCAATAATATGTATGTGTGTATATATATATATATATATATATATATATATATATATATATATATATTTTTTTTTTTTTTTTTTTTTTAAAGAAAGAAAGAAAGACTAAAGAACATGGGGGAAATCTCAAGATGTGCCAGTGGGTCATTCCAAGCCCTAAAGGACACTTTTCCCATAATGAACCCAGAGTCCTGAGGGCCTCACAGTGGGATTTGATTGGAGGGCTTTGACCGAAACTAGAAACTGAGTTAGAAGGTGGTATTTTTTGTTTTGTTTTTCACTTTTTTCATTTCCTTCACTCTCATCTTGTCCTGTGCCTGAGGTGGTAAGCCAGGACCTGGACGCACACCATTTGAAAGTACCCTTGCCCTTCGAAGGCCAAGAAGAAGTCACAGAGGGTTCTGGGAGGAAAGCAGAGGTGCCTGGGCAAATGCAGGCCTGTAGGTTCACATTCAGTAGAGTTCATCGCAAGAAACCAAAAGGAGACTTGGGTTTGAGCCAGCTACGGTGCAGTCAAGAATACGCATGTGCCTGAGCATCTTCAGCACCCAGCTGCTGTGGGCAAGATGGAAGTTGGTTTAGGTTCCTGGTCTGGCAATTTGGATCTTCACTTTCCCACACTTTGCAGTGACTCTAGTAGGAGAGTCAGAACCAGCCCAGGGGTAGCAGAGATTCGGGGGGAGTGTGGGCCTCTGACACAGGTGTGACAGGAGCACAACGTCCAAAACTGTTTTCTCAAGCGCCGGCTCCGCTAGGCCGGGAGGCAAGGAGTGGTGAGGAGGGGTTGAAGAAAGAACCACGCAGCTTTCTCTTTCTTAAACGATTCTCAGCTTTCTCCTACGTAGTCATCCTCATTTGAAGGAAAGAGTGGTTAGTATTTTTGTTTCAGGTTTTTCTACCTTAAGCCAGAGGGACAGCTCTAGTGGGGGGTAAACCCAGCAGAAATATTCTCTAAATCAGTATCAGAGAGGATTTCTGTGCTTTGGGTACTTAAAACAGTTAAGAACCTGAGCATTTGGAAATTTGGATAAGAATTCTAACCAGGCCATCTTGCCAACTAAGTGGCTTTTGCAAGTTCTTTAATTTTCCTCACCCTCAGTTTTCTAATCAATAGAGAATAAGGACTCAAAAATAATATCTGTTGTCATAGATTCTTGTCCTGAAAGGATTGCGTTAAAGGTCCCATTCACACATGCATCAGTGCCTTCTGTAGGATCCCCATTCAGCCACCACTCAGAGTGCCTGGACCCCCGCTGAGCCCACGCAATGCAATCTGTCTGTTTGGTTTGTTGTGCTGTAGGTTTTCAAGATTCTCTAATTGGAACAGCTCTTGCTTCCAATAAGCCAAAATTATCCTGGCTATTAGGCCAACATTTTTGGCCCTAGCTCCAAAGTTGAAAACACACAGAATAAACACTTTACTTTTTCCTTATCTTCAAGTGTCTGAAAATGGCTTTCAGACTCCTTAAGTCTTCCTTTTTCACTGATTCCTTCAGCCATTCCAACAAAGCCATCACCTCCAGTTCCTGCACTCTCTTTATTCCTGTCTTTTTCACGGCTTTAGTTTTCCAGTGGTCTTCTCAAAAATCAGTTTTGCAGACCTCAACAAGCTAGTCCCAACAGAGACTGACCATGACACAGTGGAGAGCTGAGGTTGCTCGCTTTGTTTTCATTACCATAAAATAAGTAAAAGTGTCCACGATGACTGTCTTCTAAACGATCACAGTGATAATTCTGGGGCCCAATTGTTTGATTAGTATCTTTCAACTTGGTTTAACTTTATTTCCCACTTCCGCATTTCATCCTGTACTCCCTTCTGTCTCCTCCTAGGGGAGAAAAAGGCAAGGCTATTTTCAGCCGCAATCTTGTATGAATGGGAGTTCTAGAAACGATGCTGTTCCCTCCTCCCTCCACTTTTTTCTCCCTGGTCTGTTGAATAAACATTACTGTTGCTATCAAAACAAACTTCCCATCCGCCCCCTCACCAAGTTCACTTACTCCTTCTTTGACTGATGAACAGTATTGTTTTGTGAATTGGCTACAACTTCAATATGTTCTGTAAGTTCCTTGACTATTGTTCCTTTTCCTTAAAACAAGACCCTTCTCTTTCTTTAAGAAAGGAAATACCTTGCCCCGAGACGTCTATAAATGTCACTGGCAATGTGTGATTGAGAACCAAAACATCTTTAGTGCCAAGCAGTGATGAAATAGAAAACAAAGGTATATTGTGATAGAGGCACAAACTTCCACTGTGTGCCCCTGACTTTTCTGAAGCATATCTCTGACTGCAGAGACTTCAGGTCATGGTAAGGATTCTAGACTTACACAAGCATAGTCACGGTCAACCTTTAAAAAATGTTTAAGCCATGGTGGTATCTATCTATGAGATGTTTTGTGAACTGTTCGGGACCCTGTTGTGACTGCTACTTCCAAAATCAGTTCTTCAGGAGTCATAACACTGCCGAGAGGCCATTGAAAAGGATTAACACTTTAATTTTTGATTGTTCGAATGAAAAGATCAAAAATATAAATTGAGATCTCCAGTAGCTATCAGGTCATGCCCCAGAAATGAAATAAAGTTCCAGAAGTCAAGGTTTTCACATTCAGTGCCCACATTCTTCCTGCTAAATTACCTGTCACATAGAAATCCTTTTTCAAGGAAATACTGATTTGGCGGTGTCTTGTTGAGATAAGCAAGGCTTTGAAACATATCGTCAATGATGGTGATTCTTCTCCAGACTCTAGATAATATTTGAAGAAGAGTTAGATAACGACAGAAACTATATCCTTTATTTTTTTAAAGATGAAATTACCTTTTTATTTATTGATTTGAGAGACAGAGAGATCAATTTGTTTTTTCACTTATTTATGCATTCAGTGATTCTTGTATGTGCCCTGACCTAGGATTGAATCCAAAACTTTGGTGTGCAGTATTGGGACGAAGCTCCAACGAACTGAACTACCTAGACAGGATTAAACTATATCCTTTAATCAAAGGTAAGTAAATAGCCCTTTTAAAAGAGAGAAGTAACCCTAGCCAGTTTGGCTCAGTGGATAGAGTGTCAGCCTGTGGACTGAAGGGTCTCAATTCCAGTCTAAGGGCACATGCCCGGGTTATGGGTTTAATCCCCAGTGGAGGGCATGCAGGAAGCAACCAATCTATGATTCTCTCTCATATATATATTTTTAAAAATAGGAAGATGCTGTAGATTTCCGGGTTGGGGACGGGGGGGGGGGGGGGCGCGAGGAATTAAATAAAAGAGAGAAGTAAGAGAAATATAATGCAGTATTCTAATTTCTCACCAGTCTTGGCCAAATATGGGAATAACAATGGCATTAGGGGTCCCCCAACTCAAACAACCAGAAGGCAGGCATGTATGGTTGTTTTTTTGTTTGTTATTTATTTGTTTGTTTGTTTGTTTTTATTATGGTCTCACATAATTGTCCTTATTCCCCCATTCCCATCCCAAACCCCTCCCTAGATATGCCCCACCCCCACCCCACCCCATATATGGTTTTTTAAAATTGATTTTAGAGAGAGAGAAACATCAATTGGCTGCCTGTTACACACATTTGCTGGGGATTGAACCCACAACTCCAGCCTGTGCCCTGACTGGGAACCAAACCCGTGGTCTCTCAGAGCCTGGGATGATGTTTAACCAACTCAGCCACACCAACCAGGGCAATAGCGCAATTATTGAGCATACTTTATTTACCTGATACTGAGCTGACCACACTCTTTGAGGATTTCCTTATGTGATCATCATGGTAACTCTATGACTTAGTACTATTACTATTCCCATATTACAGTAGCTATAGTACTAGTACTATTCTCAGGAAACAGATATTTCGAGGTAGTAAGTGGTTTGTCTGAGATTCCACAGCCAGGAGGAGCAGAAGACTGGGATTTGAAGGCAAGCATTCTGACTTCAGAGTCCATAAACCACTTTACCGCCTGATATTTATATTCTTACAGGTTTAAAGAGGAATAAAGCCTCAAAGTTTCTCCCTGGTCCAAAGTTAGTCATTTACTCTGTTTTCTCCCAGCAATCAACAGAGTCATCCCAATTGTACAAGTGGGGACACTAACTTCTGGGTGGAGCATTAGAACAGCTGGAACTTAACTAGGCGTTGACTCTTCAAATATGTGTTGTGTGTTCTTAAGCTGTCCAAGTGAAGCATGGGGTTAGACATGCAGGTCAGCCTCCAAGTGCCTTTTATGAAAAGACCTTGATCTTAGAGTGAAAATGAACTTTCTATTCATAAAGGAAAAAACTCTCCCAACCTCGCTGCCTTTAAAAGTGGATAAAACAATTATATGTATAAAATTAATTAGCTTTCCTACTTGAGGTTGATTTTCAAAGCCAACCCAATAAAGAAGTTATCGTGAAGGATATACTTCGTTTAGCTAAGCTTTCTGAAAACTTCTGCTAACTCCCTAAGTGGATGTCTCTCAAATATCCCTCATTTTCATCCTCACTCTCATGGCCTAGGGCCCTTCCATCTTTGACTTCAGTTGTGACAACATCCTCCCAAACTGCTACCAGATGATATCAAAGATTCAAAAAACAAATCAAAAAACAAAGATTTGATGATGTCACTCCCTCCTACAAACCTTTTTATTTGCTCCCAACTGGCAATGGAGTAAAATCCAAATGCTTAAGCATGATATCCAAAGGATTCATTATCAGAACACTCCCCTTTCTTGTTGTCTCTTTTCCAGCCAAACCAAAAATAATTTCCATTCTTCCTAATATGCCAAGGAATATTGTCATTTGTTTTAATGTCTGGCATTAAGCAATAAAGGACATGGGCGCTACAGATAGGCAACGTGTTTCTCTATTAAAGTGTGGACTATGCCTTGGGTTTGGGTTGCAGTGTTTCCCAAAGTGTGGTTCATGTACCCCCAGGGGTACGGGAAGAGTTTGGTGGGGGTACGCGTTGCACCGGAGTTTGGTGGGGATATGCACTGCACTGTGCTTAGCTGTGCCTAATTCTACGTTCTCATGAGTTTGAAGGGTACTCGGCATTAAGAAAATTATAGAAGGGGAACACATATGTTAAAAGTTTGGGAAACACTGGGTTAGAGGGTTCAATCTGTAATCACTGTTCTCTACCTCTTACTAACCAGCAATAGCTGCCAGCATCACACCCAGCCTTCAGTTTCCATTTAAACCTCCTTGGCTTCCCTTGGCATCTTTAGAAAACACTGCTATGCCTCAACACCTTCCAAGCTGCGACTGTTCACCCAAAGGACCGCCAAACATTCTACTGGTGCCAAACATACTGAGTGCAATCTGGTGTGTGGTATACAGTTTATATTTGATAGCTAGTGGAAAACACTGAACAATGCCTCAAAAATAACCCTGACTCCCCTCCCCCATGTATCACTTCTCCAAAGCACACATGCATGTGCCACATGCTTAAACGGAGGATGATTTCCCCCACATTTTCTTTCTGTACCTCTTTTTGCCTTTCTTATCTCACCAAGAACGAACAGGTAAGTATAACATGACATGATGGATGATACAGCAAAATATCAATTTTTAAAAGTTTTAAAACACATCTCTTTCAGGTTAGGCCTTAAGTTTAAATTGGCTTTTCAAAAAATGTTTCTTCCCTAAGAAGACAGCCCTTGAGAAATTAAGTTTGCTTACCACATATGTTTTCTGGGTCACGGATCTGTGATTTTCACCAGAGAGTTCCTCTCTCCTGTCCACTGATTCATTCAACTCATTCCTGTCATCAATCAGAAGCAAAATACATGTTCCCTCGAGGACCCTTATGGTTTTCACAGGAAACATATTTAGCTCTTGAATTTTTGTTTGTTTGTTTGTTGTTTACCAGGGTGTCTGGGGGGAGCCCTACACAGTCGATCCACATACCCAAAGGTCAACCACATCGAATCCTTCTCAGTTCAAAGTAGATTAAAGCCTAAATTTTCTTAAGATTCTGTTAGGTATACATTTTAGCAATGGTCCCTGGAAACCTATCTGACTCAACATTATGGAACTAAATTAAACCTCTCGGCACTCACCAAATGTTCTGCCAGAAGGCATCTTTGTGTTCGTCAAGGTAGATAAACAAAATGTTTCCCTCTAAAGCCAAGCCTCGTTTAAAACCACATTGAGAAGTTTAATGATACACATTTCTACCAGATGTCCTTTCCCCAAGTCATCTGGATTTCTTAGACTATTTATCACTACACTTTCTGCCAGAACTCTTGCACTGAAATCTATTTACTCAGAAAAGAGTTTCAGCGTTAACCATCTAGTAAATCGGAATGGATCTGAAACCAACTTGCTTAATTCAATAAGCAGGTCTGTGCTCCAGAACTAGGCATTTGCCATGTGAGCATCTGGGTAAATGTTGCCCAAGAAAGTGAAAACTTGGGTCCTCACTGCAGCCGAGTCCCTGCAGTAAATATGCCTCTTCACATTTTTTGGAAGCCAAAACCACAGATTTCAGGGATGCTTCCCTGAACTTTGCTTCACACCAAGCACGTCTTACGCATTCCTAGCAGTCTTGGGTGGATCTGCACATACTCATGTCCACAGTGCAGCCTGCCACTTACTGAAGTAGCCACTCAAAGTATTTTATGACCATGTAGACCTTTATTAGTCTGTATTTCAGTCAGAATTATTTATTTGCCTTTCAGCAGCACATATGGTTTAAGACAAATACAGTAGCTATTTTCTCTTCTCAGTCAAGTCTAAAAACTGCATCCTGGCATTGTTGCTGTGCTCCTCTGAGTGCTTCCAAATTGATAAAACCACACAGCTTCTCAATGGAAAGCCACTGCCAGCCAACACTGTCTGACTGTTTAATAAACGACAATGTACCTAGCTGGTGTGGGTCAGTGATTGAATGTCAACCCATGAACCAAGAGTTTGCAGGTTCAATTCCCGACTAGGACCTATGCCCAAGTTGCAGTCTCAGTCCCCAAAGGGAGCATGCAGGAGGCAACTGATTGATCTGTCTATCCCTCTCCCTCTCTTTCTAAAATCAAATTTTATATATATATATATATATATATATTTTTTTAATATATATTTTATTGATTTTTTACAGAGAGGAAGGGAGAGAGTTAGAAACGTCGATGAGAGAAACATCGACCAGCTGCCTCTTGCACACCCCCTACTGGGGATGTGCCCACAACCAATGTACATGCCCTTGACCGGAATTGAACCTGAGACCTTTCAGTCCGCAGACCGACGCTCTACCACTGAGCCAAACCTGCTTCAGCTAAAATATATATTTTTAAATAAATAAATAAATGACAATATTTCCTTCAAATCTGCATTTAAAGGCCTACTTTGGCTGCTATGCATCCTCCTTCCAGTTACTACCCAACAAGGCTCCTTTCCCTTGCCCAGAAATGCCCCCAGTTTCACCTGAGTCTGCACTCACACCCCCCCATCACTTCTCCAAACACACATGCATGTGCCACAGGGTTAAACTGAGGGTGATTTCCCCATATTTTCTTTCTGTACCTCTTTTTGCCTTTCTTATCTCACCAAGAATGAACAGGTAAGTATAACATGACATGATGGATGATACAGCAAAATAACCAATTTTTAAAAGTTTGAAAACACATCTCTTTCAGTTTAGGCTTTAAGTTTAAATTGGCAGAAATGCACAAGGTAGTAAGTTTTTTTGTAGATCATATTTTTACTTTGAGGTTGCAGTTATTATTTTGAGATTGCATTTTCACACACTTCATTTACATTCTCATATGTGTCCAGTTTTTTGTTTATTTTATCCTCACCAGAGGATATTTTTATTTAAGAGAGAGAGAGACAGAGAGAGAGAGACAGAGAGAGAGAGAGGAAAAAAAAAACATTGATTTGTTGTCACGTTTATTTATGCATTCATTGGTTGATTCTTGTATGTGCCCTGACAGGGCATCAAACTGTAACCTTGGTGTATCAGGATGGCATTCTACCCAACTGAACTATTATACTAGGTGGGGCTACTTCTGTTTTAATGTATAGATTTCCCCTTTACAAAGCTCAAAACTTTTACAAATTTGCCTGCCTCAAGGGTCACAAACTTGCAGCTGGACTGAATGTGGCCCATAGCTATTTTGTTTAAAACAGTAATTTAGAATTTGGAAACTTTTCACATTAAAAACATAAATATTCAGCTAGTCTTCAAAAACTCTGGCAACACTAAGTGCTCATTTTCCACATGGAAACAGTTGGCTAGAGCTGAGTAGCTGCTGTTCTCTGAGAGCAAGTCCACTGCTCTTCGGTTCACCCAAAACCCATTATCTCCGGATCTGGACTACTGCGCCCCTTACAGCCTCCACCTGCTCCTGGGACAGTTAGATGATGAAATATAGGGCGGAAGATGTTAACTCTGCCAACACAGTATAGGTCCAGCATCATCGCAACTCAAGACCTGCCCCTCCTTTTCTTATAACGCAGGCGACATAGCAGCCAACCATAATCAATTGCAAAAGCTCCCATATTCAGTCCCCATGGTTAAAAAGAGAGTTCCTTAAACGCACTGGCTGTTTCCTCTGCCTTGAAAACTTGCCTGAAAATATCTACGTAACTAGCTCCCTCACCCAGATAGGACAGGTGTTAAATTCTGCCTTACTTTGCACTTCTCTCACCCCTACCTTTACCATCACCTCCACACAAAAACATCTGCTCTAAGTAGTGGGGGAACTCTGAGCCTGTATTTCCCATGAACAACTCAGCTGGGCAGCATTCAGTTCCTCTTGAAGTTCTTTCTCCAACTGGTTTTGGTACCTAATCATCTTATCTGCCTTCTAGAAGATTAGGACCCTTTCTGGTACAGTTTTCTATTTGAAGAGCTTCTGTTCAGATAGATCACTCATCCTCAAGGTACTGCCTCACCCCAAGAGAATTGTGAAGAGGAGGGTGGTGTTCTTCATCAGGCCCTGTGATCACTTGGGCTCAGCAGGGTCGGTAATGACATTGAAAGTGGGGGGCTCCTGGCTTTTGGTGAGAATAGTGGTTGTGTGCAATGAGGGGTCTTCCATGGGCTTTTCCATGCTTGGGGAATGAGCTTTCTTCTACTTAATGCTTGGGGTTTGATAAGGTGATTTAGTCCACCACCTGGGCCATTTGGTGTAGAATTGCTAATAGCCTAAGTACAGATCCTAAGCATTAGGAAGGTAAGAGTGTCCTAATATACAGGCAGAAAAACAGGACAGGAAGTTGGAGACTAGGCTAGGAAGGATTTGGCACTGGAGAGCCATCAGGAGGAGCAGGGGGAGTGCAGTAAGACCTCAGGCCTGAAAGAATAGGGCAGCAAGAAAGAAACCAATACTTGTCCTAACTGGTTTGGCTCAATGGATAGAGTGTTGGCTGCGGACTCAAGGGTCCCAGATTTGATTCTGGTCAAGGGCACGTACCTTGGTTGCGGGCACATTCTCAGTAGGGGGTGTGCAGGAGGCAGCTGATCGCTGTTTCGCTCTCATCAATAACGCTTTGTCCCTCTCCCTCCCTCTCTGTAAAAAAAATCAATTAAAAAAAAAATATATATATATATTTTTTTTATTTTTTATTTTTTTTATTTTAAAGAAGAAGCCAATTCTTGCTCATTGGAATAGGTAGGACATGTGAAAGAAAGAACTTGTTAAGAAACAAGCCGAGATCCTGGGGATAGAGCTGTGGGTCACGGTCAGAGAGGTTCTGGCAGCAACGTTGACTTAGAGGTGAACTCACAAACTCTAACCCGAGTCCTTAAAATTCCATTGGTTCTGAACAGGATTTATAGAGACCTAATTATGTATTAAGCACATGTTAAGTACCTGTGATATGTGAAGACTTTTTCTAGGCACTGTGGGGTATAGAGATGGCATTGCTTCAAAGGGGTTCAGTTTGGGAGGGCAAAATTAAAGTTAAATAAACAATAATAGTGCGTCACATATGTTAAGAATAGTATGACAGGGAAGGGAATGTCGTAGTGCTTAAGAGCTTGGGCTCTGGGTCCAACAGATCTGAGTTTAGATGCCGATTCTCCAATTATAGGTTGCATGATCCTGGGCAAGTCATGAAGCTTCTCCAAGCTTCAATATCCTTTCTTATAAACACAAATAATAATAGTACTTACCTACTGTAAAGAGTCTGTCGATGATCAATTTTTTTTGCCTGGTAGTTAGTAAACTTACAATAACATTGACTATTATTTGTAATACAAGTTATTATTATAATTATCAGGGGGAAGCTAATATCAGAAATGCTTACAAAAAAAGGTGGCATTTGAGCAGAATACTGAAGAATAAAGAGAAGTTGGCTGGGTCTTGGTTTGGGAAGACATTAATGAATTACATTTGTTTTTTAATTATGCCCTGCTAAGTTCCTCGAATGATTTTAGGTGGGCTGATGAACTCAGAGTTAGTCAATTGAGAGTGGGATGCCGGTGAGCAAGCAACACAAGATGTTTTCACTCTTCATTTCTAACCCTGTTAGAATCTTACATATTTGCCTCATTAATGATTGTAGCTCCATGAAATGAACACAACTATTAATTATTTTTCTACTTGATTTTGTATACTACTAGAAATAACACAAAATAAAATGAATAACGCTAAAATTGTACCCAGTAAACTTCGTTTTGATTGAAATACTGACATTTAAGTCTCAACCCAGGAAAATGGGCCTTGCAAGGAAACAAAACAAAACAAAACACCTTTATTTTGGGCAAAATGACAATAGATAAAATTTGGTATGGACAAAAATAAACAAAATAAAACCAATTAATAAATCAAATCTTTGTTGTAATTATATAAAGGAATTGATTGAAATTCATTCAAAATAGAGGAATTTTGGTAAAATAAAAATGTAATAAGGCTTAATTGTACTCTATAGGCAATTAATAGAGAAATTAAATGTTCAGAGACAAGTTTACTCCAAAAGACTCCTTTTGGTTGAAAAGCTTTCAATATTGATATGATATTGATGAACATGTTTACATTCACAAACATAACATCAAACCATCCATGGGAGCAATATAGTGGTTAAAAATCTCCAGTGCTTGTTTATGACATCGGATGGATGGGTTGAGGAAGCAGTTGGGACTCTGTCTAGCACTTAAGAAATCATGTTACAAATAGGGATTTTTGAAGTCATCACCACATAAGTATTAATCTAGTATTTTGTGGGAATTTTTTTTTTCATCTTCCATAAATAATGCCTAGGAATAACCTAAAAAGTGTCTTGAATGTCAGCCCCACAAGCATTATGAACTGAGGATTTACACCTAAATGACTCTAAATTAAAAGAGTCAACCATTTTAATCTAACCCTTACTGAATACTTTGTAAAAAACAAGCTTTCACCAAAACCAGTTTGGCTCAGTGGATAGAGAATCAGTCTGTGGACTGAAAGGCTCCAGGTTCAATTCTGGTCAAGGTCATGTATATTGGTTGTGGGTTGCAGGAGGCAGCTGGTCGATGTTTTGCTCTCATCGATGTTTCTAGCTCTCTATCCCTCTCCCTTCCTCTCTGTAAAAAAAAAAACCAAAAACAATCAATTAAAAAAAAACAATCACGAACTCTCACAGCTTTGAGAACAATCAGAATGAAGCTGAGGTCCACCAACACTGGGACGCTGGAGTCTAATCACAAATACTGCTAAGAAATACACTCTCTCCAGTTCCTAAGCTGCAATACGCTTGTCCTTACGTTCCTATTCACTGAACCTGTCTTGTTCTTTTGAAAATGGTTTTGTGTTTTCTTTTTGTTTCTTTAATTGGCTGCTATTGATTTCCTCCTTCTCCCCTTCTCGAGGTCATGGAAGACCTAGAGGAAACTTTATTTGAAGAATTTGAGAACTACTCCTACACCTTGGACTATGCCTCCCCGGCGTCTCCTCCGGAAGAGAGAGCCCCCCTGGAGGCCGTGCACTGGGTCTCCCTGGTGCTGTACTGTGTGGCCTTTGTGCTGGGCATCCCGGGCAACGCCACGGTCATTTGGTTCACGGGCTTCAAGTGGAAGAAGACAGTCACCACCTTCTGGTTCCTCAACCTGGCCGTGGCGGATTTCATTTTCCTTCTCTTCCTGCCCCTCTATATCGCCTATGTGGCCATGAACTTCCACTGGCCCTTTGGCCTCTGGCTGTGCAAGGCCAACTCCTTCATCGCCCAGCTGAACATGTTTGCCAGTGTGTTCTTCCTGATGGTGATCAGCCTGGACCGCTACGTTCAGCTGGTTCACCCTGTCGTGGCTCACCGGCACCGGACACTGAGGAACTCCCAGATCGTGACCGTGTTCATCTGGCTTGTGGCTTCTCTCATTGGGGGTCCCTCCCTGTACTTCCGGGAGACGGTGGAGGTGAATAACCACACGTTGTGCTACCACAACTTCCACGAGCACGACTACGACCTCGCCTTGATGAGGCACCATGTGCTGACCTGGGTGAAGTTTGTGAACGGGTACCTCGCCCCTTTGCTGACCATGAGCGTTTGCTATCTGTGCCTCCTCTTAAAGGTGAAGAAGCAAAGCATCCTGGTCTCCAGTAGGTATTCCCTGACCATCCTAGCTTTGGTCCTGGCCTTTCTGATCTGCTGGACCCCTTATCACATATTTAGCATTTGGGAGCTCAGGATCCACCAGGGCAGCCATGTCCACAAGGTGCTGCGGGCTGGCCTCCCCCTCTCCACCGCTCTGGCATTCCTCAATAGCTGCCTGAACCCCATCCTTTATGTTCTAATTAGTAAGAAGTTCCAGGCGCGCTTTCGAGCCTCGGTTGCCGAGATACTGAAGTACACGCTGTGGGAAGTCAGCTGCTCTGGCACGGTGGGCGAGCAGCTTAGGAGCTCTGAAACCAAGAACTCGGGTCTCCAGGAAACAACGGCTCAGTGAGATCCTCTCCCCCACAAATCAGTGTCAGGCTTGCGTGTGGGTCCCCTGACAGATGCTCTCAGATGATCTGGTTCCAAGACACAGAGCTGACCATAGCTTTTTGCTGTTTTGGGTCAGTGTATCACATTTTTTTGTGTGTGTGTGTGAATATAAAATGAAGGAAAGATTTCAATTCTTTTCACCTGCAACTTATATGTCATTCTTGCTAATTATACCCACAGTGGATTAATCACCGCTGTGGAGGCGAGATCAGTTATTATTTGAAAAATCTTAATAGCTTTCTCTAAGTCCTAAGTCTTAATATTAAACCTCGTTTGAAAAATGGAAAATTAAGTTTGCTTAAGTTCCCTTTAACCCCTTAGACAGATTCTTGAAATGCAGCATGGACTTTTTTATTTCATGCAATCTTTGTATATACGTGTATGAATTGAACTAGTAGTTGGTTATAATAGTTTAAAACAGTCTTCCAGTTGTATTTTTAAAAATTATCTTTATTGTTGAAAGATGTCCCCTCCCCACCCAGCCAGTTGGTTATTAATGCTTCGTAAACTGCTCCTAAATCTAGTTGCTTAAAACAACAATTCAGTAGTATTACATCTCACAATTCAGAGTCAGGAATGCAAACAAAGCACAGCAGAGGGTCCTCTCTGTGCTTCACGGTGTCTGGAGCCTCAGCTGGACTGGGAATAGCCAAATGGCTGAGGTTTCCAACAGCTGGAGGCTGGCTGAGCAGCTCTCCTCCCTCCCTTCTTCCCTCCCCATCCCTGCCCTTCCTTCAACCTCTCTCCCCTGCTACCCACCCCCTCCTCTCTTTTCTCCCTCTCCCCTCTTCACACAGCTGTTCCCGCATGGCACCTCAGGGTAGCCAGACTTCTTAAATGGCAATTTAGAGCTCCGAGAGACCAGGGTGGACATTTCCAGTCTTGCTAAACGCTGTGCCCTGCACAAACACAGTATCACTTTCCTTGTATCCTATTGGTCAAAGCAGACATAGCTGTGTGTTTCTATAATGATCTTTACATAGAACCAGTAAAGCAACCTTTAGGTCAGATGGAAACCTGTTTCCTTATAGACTGTAATAATATGTTGACCTATATTCATTTATTCCTTTAGCACGTAGGTGGGTATCGAAGAGCTACGAAGGACCATGGTGTATAGACATTGTGAGAATGCTAAGAATCGTAAGGCACTTACTGTTTAGAAAGTGAGATTACAGTTGCATTAAAAACAACCACAGAACCAGGCAGATAGATAGCAATAAGGGCCATAAGAGAGCCAGGAAAGGAAGAGGCATCTAGGTAAAGAGACATTGGAATTCTATGTCCTTGCCTTGGCGGTTTCCTAAAGATTCTGCACCTATCTTTTGTCCCTGCTGACAGCCTCGTCTTTTATGAATATAAATTCTGCTCTTTGCTGCAATTTAAAAAATATACTCAATTACATATAATTCCTCAATTTCATTTTGAAAGTTATTAGGGGAGCTGTGTTATTTCTTGATTTAACATCCTTTTTTATTTCATCTCTTAGTTTTGGAAATGCTAATATCAGACCATATATTGCCTGTGTTCTTGATTGTTAGCCCCAATCGCACAATTAGATCTGGCTTTGGAAATTATCCCCCCAAGATGTGTGGCACAGCTCAGCCTGTCCTACGCTTTGATCATTCCCAAACCTCATGGTGTCTGCCCTGCCCAGCGAAGGATAAGGAAAAGCAGGGGGAGAAAGGCTCTGTGTGCAGCCTTTACCCTTGACCCCTCCACCATCAGGGTTTGAGATCTTCCACTCTGGGTTCCCCTTGACTCTGAGGGACAGGTCCTGCGATCCCAGGATCAGGGGAAAAGCTGGAGGATCCAAGAAAAAGAAAAAAAAAAAATCCTAGTCTCATCCTTTTTTGAGCAAATGGAGACACAAAGAAAGGTTGAGGATTAGGAATGGGACGAAGCAGCCAAGGGCAGAAGGAAATCAATGGAGCAGGTGATGTTCTGGAAGTCACATTTCAAGGCAGTGTTTTCTAACCTCAGTGAGTTAGGAATCCATGCCAGAGCCATTTGTTGAATGTGGTTCAATGGGCACAGCCTCGCAGGCCTGTGAGCTTTGCAAGGGCCTATGACCATATTTGAGATCTTTAAAAAACATGATTGGATCTAGAATACAAAAAGAAAACTGAAAAAGGAAAAACAAATACTTCATTACATGTCTATAAAATATGCCTTCATCTCACTTGGTCAAAGGAAGTATTTAATAATTACCTAAAAATATATTTAATGTGGATTTCAATATGTTTCAATGTTTGATGTGAGGAGTGGATCACCCAACAAGGAAAAATGCTTTAAGGAAGGTTTACAAAGGACTTAGAGGAATTCATTTAAGAATCTGGTGAAAGTTATGGGCTTTTTCTACAGAAAAATGCTTTTAAATAAAATATCAGGGAGGCCTTCGGCCCCAGGCTAAGAATTCCAGTTTAGTAGCTTTTAAAATAACTGCCAGTGGGGATGTTGATGGAGACTCACTAGGAGGAGAATGCAACAACCAGTACAGGTGCTTTCCAGCAGGATAATTTTTTTATTCTCAGTTTGAGGGAACATCCAAGGAGGAAGATAGAAGGACCCACACTTAGACCGAGGACTGGGGACTCCAAGCCTCCTCCCCAGAGGTTGGAGTCTGGTCAGTGAAGCTCTCCAGGGGTCTAATGACCAAGAGCAGGATGAAGGACTGAAAAGATAGAAGCCGGAGGCTGGACAGGCACTGCCCCAATCTGAGGAGGAAGCAAGGGAGCTCAGTGCCTAGTTGGCAGGAGGGTCAGGAATCCCAGGAAGCTCAGGGACTTGAGCACAGACTCATTGAGACAGACCTGCCTCCTTCTCATGGGTAAGAAGCTCTTAGGAATAGAGGGCAAGTGCCAAGGCCTCCAAAGGCTGACTATCTAGATTTGGATTATGGCTCCAAGCACTGGGAGCTCGGCTAAAGTAACTCCTATTTCTAGACCTCGGTTTTCCCTATCTGCGAAATGGAGATAACAATAGCATCTGCCCCGTAAGGCTACTGGGAAAATTAAATGAGTTGATGCAGGTAGATCTTCAGGGCTTCACCTAAAAGCACTTATAGTGGTATTGAGCCCTATAAACTCCTGGTAAAAATTAGCCCTATAAACTCCTGGTAAAAATTCGTGAGGTTCCTGGCACGTTCTGACAAGTGTTAGGTCCCTTCCTCCTCTCCTCTTGAATGAACATCAGAATTTCATAGGAAGAATCAGGTAACTACACAGACAACTTTGTAACAAGACAGCTTATAAGCACTGCGGGAGAATAATGTGCTGGGAGGCCGCAAGGGGCAGGAAGGAACAGAATTAAAAAAAAAAAAAAAAAAAGACTTCTTGCAAGAGGTAGTTGAAGCGCGTTTTGAAAAATGACTACCATTTGACAAAGTGCGGCGAGGAAAGAGGGTATTTTAGATGGATGGCACAGCGAGAGCAAATGTGCAGCAATTGGAAAACACAGACTGTGTTCAGAAAAGACAATAGTCCCATTTCATAGGGACAAAGTGAAGACGGGAGATTCGGAATTGATGTCAGGCGTGGAGAGGAATCCGTAGCTCCTCACTATGCTTCCATGTGGGCAATGAATATGTATAAGTCTATGGACACTTCCTTTGGTTTTTACTCTCCTGAAAACTATTCAGGCCAATAAAATTCCGAACGATGGACTCATTTGGGATATTTCCTGGATGCAGCCATTACCATCCAGGGCATGCAGTGAGAGGATGTCTGTTTACCCGTCTCCATTTGCTATTTGAGTTTACCCGTAAGTGATATCTTCTCACTATCCCCGAGGGCACGAAGCAAGGGTTATACTGATGAAATGGGATTAAATTGTATAAAAGCAGGGATGGAGAACTTTCCCCATTTTATTACCAACACATTAGTGGACTCAGAAGACCTCTCCCTAGATGAGTAATCAGGCAAGGCGTCGGTCTAATCTGTAAATGGTGATAACCGTGTCTGCCTTGTTTATCTCCTAGGCTTACTGTGAAGTTCAAATTACACAATGTATATGAGGCATGCATTTTTTATTTTTTATTTTATCTTTTTATTCTAAGGACAAATTGCCATTGCCAAATTTTATTTGTCTTTTTTTTTTATGGGGGGGGGTTGGAGGGAATTACACATATATCTCAAAGCACAAATGCAAATTTTTTTGTATTTGGGTCTTTGTCTATAAGCTTATCTCTTGATAAAAATAGTTCATGAAGAACCCAGCATTTTCCATGTTGCTATAGCGCCCATTATTTGTAGAAATAATTCTGTGAAGCTTATAGAGTAGTTCACTGAGTGTGTATGCCACATGCAGTCATTTTCCTTTGCGGTAGGATTATAACAGTCCTTTTATGTACCTGCGTCCTCCCACAACGTGTCCAGCTCAGGCTCTGCTTTTACTTTGTCCTTCTCTAGCTCCCTATGAATGAGCCAGCGTCTAACACAAATGCCTCTGCAACCCAGCCCCACCCTACACAATTCCACACGCTGCACATCGCAGACAAGCTGGTTGAATTGCCTCCCAGATGTCTATCATTCTGCCTTTCACACCCTCCTGGAACTCTCTCTCTCTCTCTCTCTTTCTCTGGAACATTCTTCCTCTTTTTTAACTGAGAAAGAGTCTATCCAGTTTAAGCCCCGATTTCTCTAAAAAATGTTTTCTTAATTCTAGCTTTCCCTGACTTTCTGAACTTTCCGATTACTTGCTTATTCACAAAGTGACTTTTATACTTTTTAAAATTGTTATGTGTTTGAACCACCTCCCCGTAGTAATTTTCTTCAATTCTGTGTAATTTTACAGCAGCTCAGAGTGATGCTGAGTGAATCATGTTTAATTCCCTCCCACACTGTACCCAGCCCTGCGCCGCGGATGCTGCTCACAATAACAAGCCTTGTTATTGTCATCACCTATGGGGCATGCAAAAAGAGGCGACCTCCAATTTTTCCTGCCTTCCACTCCAAAGACAAACAGGGGGGTGGGGGTGGGGGAGGAATCTTTTTGTCTGCATACACCGAGGCCATCTGAAATAATGGGTTCAGAAACAGTTCATTCAGTATCCTGGCTCACAATGCAAATGTGAGCATTGCTCATAGATATCACAAAAATTGAAAGCAATTTAAAAATCCAATAAATGGCCTGGTTACATAAGATATGAAACAATGGGTTATGTAACTGAAAAATGGAGATGATTTTTATGTACTGACATGAATATCTAAGATACAGATGGGCT